CGCGATGGGTGGGGTTGGGATTCGGGGTATGGTGTGGAGCGAGTATGGCAGGTGGCTAGGGTTTGACCTATTAGTCGAGTGGAGTGGGCGGCTAGGGTTCGTCTAGTCCATGCTGGATTTGGGGGCAGGGTGCGGAGGTGGAGTGTAGCGGTTACATGGGCGGGGTGAGGGGGTTGGCCCGCGATTGTGCAAGATTAGGAAGAGGGTTGGGCAGGGGCGGCGGTGGCCGACGGTGGCAGGGGGTTTGGGAGGATGGAGTTTGTTGGGTTGGGGTTGACTAAGGAGGCCGGCCACCAGAGAAGGGAGAGCTCACTTACAGGGCGGTTGAGCAGGGGCTGCGACTGGCAGTGGCGCTTGACTGCGGTGGCTAGCGGTAGTCACCGGGTAACTTTCATTGGCCTGATAAGTGTATATTTCAACATGCATTTGATGCGTGTTGAGATCGACTTTTGATGATTTTCCTAGCTTAAAGGTGTCATAAGTCACATTTTAATTAGCTCAAGTCATATTTTACTGGGCGTTGCTTCGTGTTTGGTATTTTTGAAGTCAAAATCAGGGAATTAAACTCGACAACGGCGTTTGAGAAGTAATCGAGAGAGTTGAGATGCATTTGAGAGTTGATTAGGAGCATTGGAGGTCATTGAGGTGTTAAAGACAAAGTTTTGAAACAAAAGAACTCTAGAATGGGCTACGAGATCAAAAGAAGGCGAATAGAGCTTAAAACGACGGTCAGGTGGACGTTCTGTCAATCGTTCACGCATATCTTTTCGTAGAAAGATCCAAAGTATACAATTCAAGTTCCATATGAAAGCTAACTCCAAGGGCTACTTCAAGTGACATCCGAAAGTGACATGAATATTGAGTAGTGACATGAACTTTTGACTGTCACTTTATCTTAATCAAAATAATTGTGGAAATGTAAATGAGGTCACATTTTGAGAAATAGCTTTAATTTACTAATATTAGGGGGAAACACCCATGTTTTAATACGTGAATCGATACTTCATTGACAACATATTAAGGGGTGAGTACTTTTTAAATGAAAATTCAATAAAAGAATCTAGCTATTTACTTCGCATAGACGTACTATATAAGCGCTTGATATTTTCATATACTATGTATATATCTTATTGTATTGTATACTACCTCCATCCTGGTAGAGGTTTCTCACTGAAAAATGACAAGATAATGAAACAATAATTAAATATGATAATTTGAATATATTTTCAGAAATAGTTTTGATGGTTATGTAACAACATAATGAGGTCATCTTGTATTTGACATGATTCTATTAGAATCGTGTTAATCATTTCCTAAAATAGAAATGATAAGCTCTTGATGGGACACCCAAAAGCTAGCAAGTGAAAAGTTTAAGCTGAGATGGAAAGAGTACCTACCATTTGAAGCCTTTTTATCTCGTTTGAAAGATCCATTACAAGTATTAAATTCTTATTTGATTTCATTTGATTCTTGGTTTATTTGATTTGATTAAAATTAAAAATTTATATGAACATAAGTGTTTGATTTTATTATATCTTTCTATGACACGTTCTATTTTAAATTGCTTTTATCTTGTTGCGAAAATCCATTAAAGTTTTAAACTTCTTGAAAGACCTATTTATAAAATATAATGGGATTGATACTTTTTCAATGAAATTCAATCAAGTCTTTTTCCATGAATATTACTAAATTAAATTCGTAAAACAAAAATATGACTTATTTTTAAATTTTCCAAAAATGACATATTAGTCACTTGTTCACAGTGACTCGTTATCTACAGTAACTTGTCATTCTAAAATACAATATAGTCACAATGATTAGTCATATTTTGTCCAAAAACATAACTAGTCGTATTTTTGTCCGTGAAAACTCTATTAATTAGTAATATACATGTCATTTTATCAATTCAAAAACAAGAATCTATTTACTCTAAACATACTAAGTGTTTGATTTGATCATATTGGATTCTATTCCATCTCAAGTCACTTTTATCATGTTGGAAATATCCATTAAAGTTCTACACTCGTATAGAGTTTTTCAATTCATCCACGAACAGTAAAAGTGTTAACATTGTGACGATCTCTAAATATAAAATAGGAAATACAAATATAAAAACGAAACACAAATTAAATAAAAATATATAATATTGTATAGAAAACGTTTATGTTTTGCAACAAATTCAGCATATACATACAACATATATTTATTTTTTACTTTATACTTCAAGATTAATATTTTAAAATTTATATTTATATTTATATTTATATATTCATGTATTTATTAATTTTTATGTATTTATGTACTTATTTATGTATTTATTTATTTATTTATATAAAACCATTTACGTACATATTAAATTTCTTTATTTTCATTTTTGTTCCTTTTCATATTTTCTTTAAATTTTATTTTATGCAATATATTTGATATTTCTCATTATATAATAAATTTAGGATTTGAATGTTAAATTTTATTTATTTAAAGTTTTACGTAACACTTTGCATTATTTATATGTAGCATTTATACGGAGTTAAAATTTTATATTATAAAAAAATAATTAAGTTTAAGAAAATATCTATATAGCCTAAAAAATATTTTATGATAAGTTTAAGAACCCCTATTATTTATATAGAAATTTCCCTAAATAGAAGTAAAAACATTTTGAAATTCCAAAATAGGACTTTCATGTTACGTTTTTATCTGCTAAATAGGAGAACTTTTGCCATGTTTGGGGAAAAAAGCCATGTTTAAAGTCCAGTAATACTAAACTTGGCAGAAATTTACTTCTATTCAGGGAATAAAAAACATGAGTCCTATTTTGGAATTTCATCACTTTTTTACTCCTAATAAAGTGTATGTCACTTTATATGTTATTTTACAAATACAAATTTACTGGAATATCAATAATTATATGATTTTATCAGTCATAGAGAATATCAATAATTATATGATTTCATCGGTTCCTCAAGATATGAAGACATATTTGAATTTTGACAATTCATGCTCGTTTGAAGGCAACATTGGCGCAGGATCCAGTGAAGTGCATACTCGAGAGTTCTTGAGCACCATTATGCATCATGGATACAGAATTATAAATTGGGACTACAGATTTGGTGTTCCTATTATTAATAGGTTAAATTCGGCAAAAGTATTGGTCAAAATTTTTTGAATCCACGACTATCATTGGTCCCGTTAGATTTGGTGTTCCTAATATTATACTACCAAGTTATTTAATTGTCACATAGAGCTTATTATTATACGTTATCGTTTATTTCTAGTTTACTTTGCAAATTATTATACAATCCAAAATTTTATTTTCTTACAACTACTACAATTTATATAATAAAAATTAAACCATATAAACCCTAATGTCTTTTTTATTTTGCAAAATTACACATTATGTACTATTGTAAAACATAATTTTATACTCCCTCCGGTTTTTAATAAACTTCACACTTTCCTTTTTGGGACGGTCTAAAATAAACTTCACACTTCCTTATTTCCTTTTTTGGCAAAAAAATCTACATCAAAACAGTGTCAAACAGTGTCTCAACAGTGTCAAACAGTGTCAAACAGTGTACTCTACAGTAAAGTCAAATTTCTTTTCTTATTTTGTGTGAAGTCAAAGAGTGAAGTTTAATAAAAACCGGAGGGAGTATAAATTAATAGCTATTCAATACTAGATATATCCCGCTACTGGTACAGTGTGTAGTTATATACGGAGTACTAGCTAGGATTTTGTGACATAGTTGTGCTTTCAATTGGCTATACACCTTTTGATTGAATTCCCACCAAGTACAGATTAACTATTTATTGGCATACCATTTGTCAAGATAAGATTACGATAGTTATTGGCAGGGGTAATTTGAGTTTGCACCCCATATTATTATCAAAACTGGTCTTTACACCCCGTTTTTAAAAACCTTTGTTTTTGCACCCCAACCTCATATGAAAAGACAAAAATGCCCCTCCATTAACAATTATTTTGGCCTTCAACATATTCATGATTGAGGGGCATTTTTGTCTTTTCACACAGGGTTGGGGTGCAAAAACAAAGGTTTTAAAAAATGGGGTGCAAAGTCCAATTTGAATAATAATATGGGGTGCAAATTCAAATTATCCCTTATTGGCATATCATTAACTTGAGCATCTTTTTCATTACGTCTAGTTTATCCATACCAAATTTCAGATAAAAATTCATTCGGGAATAGTCAAATGATTTTTTGAAATGTACTGCACTGTTTAACTGCACAGTTATCTTCAAAAATTCATTTGAATGCCTTCCCGATTGATTTTTTAGCTGAAATTTGTTATGAGTGAAGTAGACTTAATGAAGAAGATGCTAAAAAATATTCATAAACAAAACCATAGGAGACAGAGTCTCCTGTATAAGGAGTGAATTGCATTTTTTAAGTTAATTCGAGGTCCATTAATTCCAGGTTAATTTGTAAACAGGCCTTTGGAGTAATTATCATCAGCGTCGTCCGCATGTGTGTTATATGCACAAGCAAATGCAACACTATCTGTCATGATAAGATAAGATTACGACAGACTCTTGCATTTTTAGGGTTGGTTTGCAACTATTTTTAAAAAAGCACTTCTCAGCTTTTAGTTTTAAAAAAGCAATTATTTTCCAAACACTACAACTTTTATTTTTCTCGTCTTCCGCGTCAAAAGTGCTTTTACTTTTTCTATTACACAAAAAACACTTATTTTACCAAACACTACCCACTTTTACTTTTCAAAATCACTTTTTTCTCAAACACTATCAACTTTTATCACTAGTAAAAAAAAGGCTTATAGTGACATTAAATTAGTGTCACTAAACGATTTGGTGACACTCTGAAAGTGTCACAGACAATGGGGGCAAGTGACACAAAATTTAGTGTCACTGGTTGCTAAACAGATTAGTGTCGCAAAAATATGACAATAAAATATCACCTAAAATTATGACGTTATAATATCATAACTTTTTTTGACACTTTGGTATCATAAAGATATATGATACATTAGTATCATAAGTATATATATATTTCAATATACATATATATATATATTATACATGTAATATAATTTAATACTAATAAATAACCAAAATTCAAAGATTTTTATTTATATCTCAATTTTTCACATAAATGTGAATGTACATACTACATAATTCATGGGGACACACCCAGAAACAACAACTAATATACAAGAACAAAACGCTAATATGTCTAACTTTTACACCACACTTCCTAGGGCCTTCACATATCTTCTTTTGTAGACTTGCACAGAATGAAACCAGTTCTTATGCTACCAACTTCATCATTTGAACCCTCACTTGCTTCTATCATACTTCACCTGCAAAGTGAACATTACATTAATCACACACTAGTTCAACTTAGTACATCTTTCCTATAAATAAGTAAAATTTCACCTCTAAACTACAAAATAAAACAACTAAGCAAAAATGGAATTACAAAACACAACAGGCTATTGCCAAAATTCTAAACAAGTAAATAAGAAAATAAAAAAGAATGAAAGAAAGTGGTGAGTTACTACTGTCAATGCTTTGCCCCAGGCCATTATTAGCTAGTGATATAGCTAGTGAATTGTACTCTTACACTTCACCTCATATGCTAGTGCAAAAAGCATATCAACAATGTGAAGGTGATCAAAGAGCCTTTGAATTGTCCGTGGTAAATAATGAAATGAAGGATGTTGAGTCATCTTCTCTGAAGGACACGAAGAGTACTGCATCATGTGAAGTTAAGAAATCCATAGAGAAGAAACCAAAAAAGAAAAAGTCTGGTAAAATGCAGGCTGTTGACAGCGGGAATGGATCGTCTCAGACAAAAAAACTCAAAGTCATCAGAATCTAAGGGCATTGTTCTTTCTCATGTGATATCTGAAGCACATGGTTATCCAACCGCATTAGATGTAGCCTCTGAACCTGAAACATTGGAGTATTGGACAGGAAAAAAAACAAAGTTGTGGTCAATAATGTGAATGCACAACCAGAGGGAAGTGAAAATGATGGAACAAAGGTGTCTGATATTGAAGATGATGGTGAAACTTTTATTGAAATAAAAAATACGGAAAAAAATCGCAAGAAGTCGGCAAAAGCAAAGGCTGCGTCATCTAGGAACTCGGCACATGTTGTTCTTCCTGTGGAAATTTCTGAAGGATCATCAAGCCTCATTGAGAACAAAGGCAAGAGTGGTTCTCGTCAATCTCAAACGGATAAAGATGCTTACCTGCTGTACCTTTTGGCCCTTCTCTGGGAGATTTTGTTTTATGGAAGGCTGAGAGTGCAAACCCTTCCGCTCCTACTCCCGCGTGGTCTGACTCTGGAAAAATACCAAAACCCACATCTTTGAGAGACATCTTGAAGGAGCAAGGAAAGAAGGCTCCTCATGGTCAACAGCAGCACATTCAAGTGCCAGCACCACAGAAACATGGTCCCACTCAACTTGCTGTAGGAGGAGCCACAGAAACCTCATGGTCAACAGAAGCACATTCATGGTCGCTTACTGCTTCCTCTCCATCCAAGACTGCTACCCCAATTCAGATTAGTACACGAGAAGCTCCACAAGAAAACATTCAAGAAGATGATTTGTTTTAGGGGCCAGTAGAGCATATGAAGCAAGATGGAAAACATTATGACCACTCCTCTCCCCCCCCCCCTGTCAGTTATATTCATCGTTCAAACTCCTAATTTTGCAGTGTTGTTATGATAATGGTTTGAAAATATATCATATCATATTTTCAATTTCTTAGTATTGTACTATCTCTGTTTTTTTGTCCTGGAATGGTGCAGTGGTGCACTAAAGTTTTGATGTACATGCTCAACTCTTGTGGAGCCTTAATGCACATGTGGAAGACTGGAAGTTATATTAGGACATTATAAGTATTAAACTGATTTACAATGACCTATATTTCATTAAGAGTATGACAATAAATAGTTTCTAGCAAGGTAGTCAAAGTTGTGAGGCGCACTAAAGGCGACGGAGTACTCCCATCGCCTGAGGCGCAAGGTGCAAAAAAACGCTCACCTGACTCATGTAAGGCGCATTACTTAGAATATATCACATATACTATTATGCAAGTATCAAACATGATGTATATAATGGTTTGAACCAACTACATTAAAAAGTCATGTTTCTAAAAAATAAAGTCATGATTCTATAAAATAAAGTCATGATTCTAAAAAATAAAGTCATGACTCACCAAAATAAAGTCATGCATTTGCATCATTTTCATGAGCCAAGTAATTTTGTTTTCAAGCCGGTTCTGTTTTTGCTGATTTGGCAGCTTCAGGACCTGTGCCTGAAGTTGACTTTTCATGTTCTGTAAATGTACAAGGCAGATATTATTTATACAGTATACTTCATGAAACTATTCACTGATTATTAGATTACATGGAGTGTACATGAATAAAAATATTAAATAAGAAAATGCTGATAAATGGAACAATAATAAGGAAAATGGAAAATATTGTCTAATTAAATGATTAGGAAATGGAATAATGAGGAGAGTCACACATGATAGACGACTATATTGGTAGTTAAGTAGTTTACAAATATATATGTTTGACTTGTATCGAGTTCATAAGAAGTAGATGCTGAAAAGAAAAAAAAAATGGAACCGTGAAGGAGAAGAAAACTTACTTTCATTGATTGTGCTGCCATCTTCTGCAGTTGATGAATATGTGGGGATAGTGAAGACTGAGGTAATGGGAGTAGAGCAGAGCAGGAGAGTTAAAGATGCAACATCAGTTAGTTTTGCAGTCTTCTTCGCACGGATTCCATCAGATAGAGCTGGGAACTCCTCATCTGTGTCTGCCGGGATAGCAAACCGGGACCTGGTCACAGACCCCTGCATCTTCCTCATCATAGCTGGATGAAAGCAGGAGATTGGGAAAGACAGTCGCAGGTGAACAACGAAATGTCCGGACTTCTTGGTATCCACCGAACAACCTTTCCTCACTCTGTCAAGGAGTTCGTAGTACGAGTATCAGCAACCTACAAACCTCAATTCCAGAAACAAAAACCTAAATCGAAGCTTTTACAGAACGATTTGGCTATGAACAGTCTCAGAAGTGAACAATAACTTCACGCATATCTCTCTTCACTGGGAAAACCCTACCAGAGCTTCCACGACCAATTATCCACTATGTTTGGTTTTGATCCACTATGTTTTAGATTAGAAAAATTTGAATCAGTTCAAATTAGACCAAAAAGATCAGATCGATCACAAGACCCAAATATAGTTAACCCAATCCAGATCCACGTCTTGGGTTGAATAAATTAAGTGTTGGAAAAATGCTTTAAAGTTGCATTGAATGATCAATTTCGAGCAGTATTTTGAATGAGGTCCAATTTCAATTTGGATCGGGTCAAAATGGTTTCGGATTCTCTCTTGAATGAGAAATTGGTTCTCGAAGTTCACTCATTGAAATGGAAAAGCTGAGAAAAGAATGAGTTTCTAGTGTGATTTATCCCACATCGGAAAATCCAAGGAATTTTCACCCCCTTGTAAAGGGAGCCCTCTTTGAAGGAGTTAAGATTTTTAGGTGGAAAGACTCTCTTTGCACGCATGAGGATGCCGATCAAATCCCGAAAACGGAGAAGAAAAACTGTGACTTGCGTGCGCGGACGACCTGCGGACACGAATGTTTTCCGAAAATCTATATTTCCGCTCCAGAAGCTAGTTATGTTCAGATCACGCACTAGAACGGTTCAGAACCGTTACAACCTTTATTGCCTAATGTTCTTATCTTTTAATGCGTCTTTAAATGGATATTTTTCGATATATTAACGCCTAACATTCTAGTCATTTATGTCTAACACTTAGGTCCATTAAAGATTAGTTAACACTCCACAAATCTGTCCATATATATAGCTGACAGGTGCTTTGCAAAAAAAACACAATACAATTAGCACATACGTAGTATGTCTTTAACTAAATTTCCCTCCAACTCTCTAAAAAATTCATTTGTGTTCAACTGTTCATACCTTATTTCCGTTTGCCGGAACAACCGATTGTGTGCTCAAATTAACGGTTGTTCGTCAGCCACCGTATCCTGGGAACCTATCGCTGCAACGGGAGGCAGCGAATATGTTTTAAAGAAATTGTGCGTTGCACAAGCTTTGGTTTTCTGTCCTTTCTCGTTTTATGTTTTCTTGGCTATTTTAAATTAATTTTAATTAATTAATTTCTTTGTTTTTTCGAATTCACCCGACATAGAGAACAGTACCGGTTATTCCGGTTCTGGGTCGATTTTGATAACCGGGTCTAGTCCGGGTCCATAAAATAAATATGTATACATTTTACTGAAATTAAGTTATTTATTATACTTGGTGAAATCTAATTTAAAAAAGAAATCTTCCACTTCCACTTCAACAACAATGTAAGAACAAAGAGCTACCGACCTACAATAATAATTTAATAAATTATAAATAACAGTAGACATAAAGCCGTTAATATATTTATAGATGAAAGTATTTATAACATGTAAAAATATAAAAAAAATCATTTTTAAAAATACAATTAGAAAAGTATAAAATTTTTAAATTTCGCAAAATATCCGTCTCAAAATGATTTAATTTACGAAATCAACTTTTCTTGATCAAAACAGTTTCATTTTATTGACTTATTTAGCGGCATATCAGTTTTTCTATTCTATTCTCATTTGAATTTTTCCACTCTAAATGACTTTGATTGCATCTTGTGAATATATAAATTTTTCCTGGTAATTATTAAAACTGATTTTAACGATCCGCGGAATGCTCAATCCAAAAAACTGTCCCTAGGGTACTTTAATTTTATCGCCTATCAATGTAAAAAACCGCAGAATGTGATTAAATTCAAAATAAATGAAGTACTCTATCCATAACTTTAAAATCTTCCCATTTCAAAAGTAGGTAGATTAAGAATAGTGAAAGATGATATGAATTATTGAGGGTATGATGGGTAGTGGAATAATGTGGTGGAATGTAGGATAATCCAAAAAAAGTAGTTGTAATAGTGTATTATTTTAAGAATTATTGAGGGTATGATGAGAAGATTTAGAAATGAGAAGATTTTTTTGTTACGGACGAAAAAGGAAAATGGGAAAATTTTTAAGTTACGGAGGGAGTATTAGTTAAAATGATTACTCAAAATTTATTATCATTAGTTAAAAACGGAGTATAATAAAAGAGGACAAACGTATCGCTATGTTTGGCAGGCATAAGTTTTTGCCTTCTAGCTTTTGTACTGTTCAAAAAGTCTCTAAAAGCTTCTAATTATATGTTTAGCATAACAATTTTTAAGAGTTTTTCAAAAATAAAAAGATCTTTTTTGAGATGGTACATGGAGTAACATTTGAAAAAATCTGTGACGTTTAGTATTAATTAGTCCTAACAGCTTGTATACCAAACCGAACTAAATCAAACAGTCAGGTTTTTACCAAACAACTACTACCTTTTCTTTTTAAGATCTTTTCAGTCACTAAAAACTAACAATAAGTAAAAAGTTCACAATAGTATCTTTTCAGGTAGTTGTGCCAAACATACCCTATGTCTACTAATAAGCAGTATAGAGGCAATGCAGTTTAGTAGTTGACTCGATCATCCTAGCATTCAAACATTTTAGGTCTTTATTCCGCCCTTTTCATATAATGTTTCCACATTAATGCTACTTAAATAAACAGATTTTTTAATGACGCGTATATTTTTATCAAAATAATCTCACACCTCCAAAATTACATCACTCATCATCTCAAAATAATCAGATTTTTATCGGTCCTGCACTTTCTAATTAATACGGAGTACGAGTTTATTTTTATTTGTTTGTTTTTTATCCCGATAGGCAAACCACCAAAATCTATCACTAATTAATACAAGTTTCACAATAATCTGGATTCATATTTCTCTTCACTGGGAAAAGGCGTGGTCGGGTCGATCCTTTGCATCGGTTCTCACTGGGGAAATTGATTCTCTTCAGTGGTCTAAGAAGGAGATTACTAGGTTCAAGGGGATGCCAGCATTAACGTTTCCGGAGGAGGAGATTAACCTTCTGGAATCGAAGCATAAAAGGGATTTAATTGGTTATTTCTTCTCTGGACGTCCTCCTATGAATTCTCTGAGAAAGGCCTTTGATTTATTTGGATTTAAAGGAAAGGTTCAATTAGGTTTGTTAGAGAAAAAACACATTCTTATTCGTTTTGAAGTTGAGGATGACTACATTCGCCTATGGAGTCGGGAGGTTTGGGATATCTTTGGCAGTGCTATGCGGGTTACGAAATGGACACCGGAGTTTACGCCGAATGTGGAATCTCCGGTTGTTCCAGTTTGGTTATCTTTTGAAAATTTGCCAATTCATGTGGCTAAAGTTAATTCTCTCTCCTCTGCACAAATTTCAACCACACAGATTTTACTTTATTAATTCATGTGAAACTCAACTTTGGCCAACCTTTTCAGGACGGAGGGAGTATTAACTTAGAAGGGATCAATGGAAATCTTGTTTTTGTTAAGAAATTGAATCTTGAAAATTCCGTGAGAAACATTTTTAAGTAATGTTTTTCAAAGTTGAAGATTATGATGAATTATTTGCGATCGACTATGTCTCAAGAAAGACTTGATGAGTTAGCAATTTTAAGCATTGAGCATGAGATATTTCAAAAAGTTGATTATGAAGCAATTATTGATGATTTTGCTTCACACAATCATAAAATTGGTGAGAAATTGTTTCACAAGTCAATTATAAGAAATTGCTTCACACCAATTAATTTCTACGAGAAAGATTTTTATGTAATGTTTTTTTATGTGATACTTGTTTTGATACTTTTCACCAAATATAAATTTAATCATAATAATAATAAAATGAGTTTCGTTTTTATTTCATGAACTTTATTAGATAGTTTAATTTATAATTATTATTTTAAATAAATATAGTTTATTATTTGTCTTGAATATAAGTTCAAAATATTATCTCGCTAACCACTCCTAGCCGCCATTTGGATCTAGTAACCCCCAACCGTCCCAAGCCATCACTGATTGAACATAGGGCAAGGACGGCGGCGACGGCGGGCGATGGTGACGGCCAAGGCAACAACGATCCTTCTGCTGCTCTAGTCATCAGGGCAAGGACGACGAAGACCATGGGAAGGGCGGCGGTGACGATCCGTTAGGCTCTATCCGCGGAGGGCGATGGTGACAATCAAGGCAGCGACGACCAAGCAGCGGAGGAAGAGGCGGTTCGGCTGCTCTGTCCACAGAGAAGATAGGCTTTTCATTGATGCATTGCTCCTGCCGTGAATTGCGTCGATGTCTTGGTCCAAGTCTTCGTCCAACATGGTGGACATTTTTTTCTCCGCGTCCAGTTATCCAAGTGCCGCACTTGCTATTGTTCTAAAGCCGTAATGGATCAGATAAAGGTACATGGATAAGAGCACTAATCTATGTCGATGTGGAGTGTCGACCATTGGCACATTGCACACCAATTCAACACGTGAATTGTAAAATCTATACTTCAGAAATGTGAAACCTTTCCACTAGTATTCACATAATAATGAAATGAGCTTAGATGGGGGCTGGTCATGTCTACATTTGAGTTTATGAACACTTTCCTATTTTGGGTTATTTCCAAACTAAAGAGAAATTTAAAAAGTCAATGGGACAATTAAAAAATGAAAATGGACAAAGTTTTAAGGATAGAGGAGTACTAAATTACACTTATTTAAAATAAGAATTACAATTAAACTATCTTATAAAGGTTATACGGAGTATATAAAATAAAGATGAGATTCAGCAAAATAACACCAATATCACAAAAAACATTACTTAACACTATTCCTTAACATAATGGGTGCCCAACAAATTAAACAACCAAAATTAGAACTGAACACGACGCTGATATCCCATTGAACTTCAAATTTCATCTTAAAAAACAAATATCAAAGAAAGAGTTGTCCAGGATCTCTAAGATAATACCCCGGAGTATTATACTTCATAGGTGTGGACCAATACTATCTTAACTTTTGTCATTGTTAATTGCCTACGTAGAAAAATAGTGTTGGGGTATATTTGACACAACTAGCTGGAAAGATACTTTTATGAGATTTTTAGTAATTGTTAGAGCATTTCCAGCGGTTTGCTAATTGCCCTCATAGCTTAACTAGTCACGTAAGCTTTTGTAGCAAAATTCAAGTATACTCCAATGGTTTGCTATAACCTTTTTCTCTTCATTTATTATTTATAATGCTATATTTAATATTCTCCTTACTCAATCTAGTAGCTCATT